AAAAATAGCATTAAATGATCCTTATTTTCCTGGATGGTAAATATGCTTTGTACACTATTATTTTTGTTGTAGTCTTCTTCTTCCTCTTCTTCTCCTTCTCCTCCTCCTTCTCCTCCTCTTCTTCCTCCTCCTCCCCCAATTTTCTTCTTTTTCTTATTCTTCTTTTGGTCAAAGAGTAAATTTAATTAAATTGTCTTAAACAAGAAATGTATTAGAGATGGCAAAGGTCTATGGTGATCCATGAAGGCTTTGTAGTCAAATGATCCGTGTTCTAGTCACCTCTCTTATTTGCCAGGGTGAGTTTTAAATGTATAAATCTTGTTTTTAATTCCTTCTTACTACACCATATATGCAGCCCCATTACACCTTGCTTTTCATATAGAGAGGACAATCAGATTTAAGCTTTTCTCTGACTAAGGCGACTTGATTTTAAAGGAAGGCTAAGGAACCGTGAAATGCTGCACAAGCGGAAATGCTCGAGGCACTTCCTTCATATTTTATTAGAGTTGGGGAAGCATGCCATTTCCTTTTACTACCTAGCCTCTAATTTTGAGTATTGGTGTATAAAATTTGCTTCCTCTGAGAAGAGACCTATTAGCTAGAAAGCTTTCTCTGAATTGGAATATACAGTTTAACTGGTTTTAAAGTTCTATAATAATTAGAAAAAAAAGTGTGAGTTTCATGGCAAGTTTCAACTCTCATCATCATCACTGACCCTACATGGCAGTTTTTACAGCTGCCCTTAAGTTAGTGTCTAAGCTTTGCCTCTGGGTTACTAGTCAAGCAGTGTAAAATCTACTGTAACTAAACACCCACTACAATAAAAGTAGCATACATTCATTAGGTGCTTCTGATGTGGCACACAGTGTCTTTAGCTGCTTGCACATGTTAACCTCTTTAAACCTGCTGCAGCCTTTAGGGAAGTTATTTTTCTTTCTCATTTATAGATATAGAAACTTGGAGCACCAAGGGTCACAGACACAAAAATGACAGAGGAAGTAGGTCCACTCAAGTTCTGAAGTACATGTACAACACTCCCACCTAATACATTAAAAGTTCCTCTTAGTGATTCCATTGGCTCACTGTGTGCTATGTCCCAGGAATTGCAGAACATGTGAAAATGAAAAAAAAAAGAGAGATTTAAATAAGTATTGCCAACAAAGCAGTATTTTTCTCTATCTGCTGGGGATGCTGTGAATGTGTTGCTCTGATTGATTGATAAATAAAATTCTGATTGGCCGGTAGCCAGACAGGAAGTGTAGGCAGGGCAAGCAGAGAAGAGAATTCTGGGAACAGGAAGGCTGAGTAGGAGTCACCAGCCAGACACAGAGGAAGTGAGATGTAAAAGTAACGGTAAGGCACAAGCCACGTGGCAACTTATAGATTAATAGAAATGGGATAATTTAAGATATAAGAACAGATAGCAGGAAGCCTGCCACGGCCATACAGTTTATAAGTAATATAAGTCTCTGTGTGTTTACTTGGGTCCAAGTGGCTGGTCGTAGGGCCACAGGAGCCGAACAAACCAGGAAAACTTTAGCTACATCTATCAGTTTTGAATACATAATTATTTAATCATTCATCCTAGTAACTCCCAGTAACATGTCATTGTTAATAATACACACAAATGCACACAATGCTAAAATCTGTTGACAGAGAATTTCTGGTATCTACCCTTGGCAGCGGAGCCTTCTGCTTGCCCATAAAATCTCATTTTTACTATTGGTCCCATTGAACTGTTTCTAGATGTATTGGTACAACCAGCTACCTGTGAGGCTACAATCTTTCATCTCCTTTTTTTTCTCATGGTACATCCTTTATCAAAATGTTCCAGTCTCTCACTAAGTGCAGGACAAAGAAGCACAATTCCCCAGCCTGGCCCAGGGCAGAGGAACATGGGGATGTACTGTCACATGAGCCTAGTGTTAGGTCCTGGCTTTCAGTATCTCCTGAATGCTACCTGCTGCTCCCCTTTCCCTTTCCTGGAGCCTGGTTTTCTTCACATAGACAAATTAATTTAGTACTCCCTTTAGTCCTCTTCCCTTTGCTCCCAGATCCAAAGAAATAAAAATCCTAAGGCCATATCAAGCTTCTGTCATTTGCTCTTGGGGATACTTCATGAACCTTCCATTGAAAGTGTCAGCTGGGTAGCAGTGGTGCACACCTTTAATCCCAGCACTCTGGAGGCAGATGCAGGTAGATCTCTGAGTTCAAGACCAGGCTGGTCTACAGAGTGAGTTCCAGGACAGCCAGGGTTACACAGAGAAACCTTGTCTCGAAGAAAAAACAAAAATCAAAACAAAATAATGTGTCATATAACAAAACTTGGAAATTGGGGGAAACTGAAGTGTCACATGTGTTTTCTGAGGTAAAGACAGCCCCAGTTGGAGGTACAGAAGTAAGGAACACTATGGTATTGTTGATATGTATTTGTCCCTTGTTTTTAGTACCTCAAGTAATGGATGCTATCCTGGAAAGTATTAGCAATGCAATACACTGCTCACAGTGCTATGCAATCCCACTTCCATATGGAGTTTCTTTACCTATTCCTGCTTACCATGTAAGTCACAGGAACACTTTTTTTTTAAAAAAAATAGGATTTCATATATTTTAACATTATCTTATTGTAACAGAACATATGTCTTCAGGCTTCTTAGTTTATTGATTAAAGTATCTCTTTTAAAAGTATGTGTTTATTTTATGTATGTAAGTGCTTTATCTGAATGCATGTATGGGCACCATGTACATGGCTGGTGCCCTCTGAGCTCAAAAAAGAGTGTCAGATCATTGTGAGCAACCATGTGAGTGCTGGAGCAAAACCCAAGTCTTCCTCAAGAGCCACGGGTGCTCTTAACTACTGAGCCATCTCTCTAACCCCTGCTTAAACCACCTTCTCACTTGCTATTGGCTGTATACTGACAACTATAACATTTAGAGAGAACACTAGAGGTTCATAAATATTACCTTGCTATGTCATCTGTATGCTTGTCATGCTTACTAGAATGCACTGTTTCCTTTTTTTATTGAAAATAGATTCTTCCCTCATACAATACATTCCAACCACAATTTCCCCTCCCTCCATTCCTCCCAGCTCCCCCCGCCTGCCAACCTCCCCTCTCTCCCAGATCCACTCCTTCAGAAAAGAGCAGGCTTCTAAGAGACAACAACCAAACAGGGGGGAAAAAGGATACAATAAGACAAGGCAAGTCCTCATATCAAGGCTGGACAAGGCAACCCAATAGGAGGAAAAGAGTCTCAAGAGCAGGTAAAAGAACCAAAGACATATCCACTTCTACTGTTAGGAGTTCCACAAAAACATCAAGCGAAAAGCCATAAGGCACATGCAGAAGACCATGTGCAGACCGCTGCAGGCCCTGTACTTGCCACTTCAGTCTCTGTGAGCTCACATCATACCATTTGACCATTTGTCCCACATTTGAAATAACATTACAGAAATGAGGTATTGATTTGGATCTACTTGTTGGCAAGTTGAAAATAGTACGATGACTTAGCTTGGTCCTATTCTATAACATTGCAAGACATTTGATCAATAGGACAGTGGTTATTTTTAAAAATCTAGATATCTAGGCATTATTGCATAAAGTGGGACTTCAACAGGCTGTAGGGCCTAGCCTACAATTAGAATTAGTCAGCATAAAAGTTCTGTATAATTTTTAGAGAAGAATTGCATACACCAAAGGCTCGATTATTTGATGAAGGAATAAAACATTACAATAGTAAATTCACATGGTCATTTCAATAGAGACCTAAAGATTTAGTATTAAAACTAGATGAAAACCATATCTTTGCCAATATAATCCCTAATATGATATGCAAAGAAGTCTTCACTTCTCCATTATTTACTCTATTGACAATAAGACCCAATAAAGGATTATAGTTTCAGAGTTAATATTGACTAGTAAGGAATTATTATGAAATCTACACACACACCACTTCACGGAAGTTTGGGAACAATGAATACAATACAGGTATGTTTGATGTAAGGAAAAGGATGAAGTATCATAGAAGGACCTCAAATAAATTGAAAGAAATGGCAGGTCAGTGAGTAGGAAAATACCTAAGAATAGGAAAATAACATAAAACTTGAGAGTGTGCACAGCAGCAGAAATCTTTGAATATCTGTAGGCTCACAAGATGACAATGATTAATCTTCCAGCCTAGCTGAAGCCAGTAGGAAAAAACCATAAAGGGACTACCTTGAAATTGCATAATAGAGTTGTTTAGAGATAAAGCCATCTACCTTAGGAAAAAATTAATGAATTGATGCCTGGAAACACTTAACAAATAATTAGCAGGGATATTTGGAATACATCCCAAGGTGAAAGGCAAATTAAATGACCATAAGAGCTCTTCCCACTATAAAATGCAGTCCTGGATGACCAGAGGTTTCTGAGCACCAACAGAATGGTGATGAATATTGGCAGAACAAAGAACCACAGAGAAAAAGAGGGATGGAGAACAAATTGGCTTCATTCAGTTTTCAGTCCAACTCAGTAAGATTGATTATCTCTGATATGCCAGAGACTATTGTTTCCATGTCGATTCATCTATGTTTACTGAGTGGCTAGATGGAATACACATTTTATATCATCATCATCCCTTCGATGGACTCCATATCTCAAAGGAAAAGGTATATAACAAGGTTTTGCACCATATGAACATGATTGTCAATTTGACTGATACTTCACTGACAAAGTGATTAGCTGACCCTGTGTTCAGAGAATATATTAACAAAGCATGTGAAGTGGTGCAAAGGTCAGGTATAGTGAGAAGAAATGTTCTGTCTGCACAAACTAGTGAAATAAATAACAAATTAAAAGCCTACATAACCCCTGTCTCTCAAACACCTATACATCAAGTTGCTATTAGGAAAACAGCATTTTCCATTCCATGGTGTTTTAATGAATTTGTTGTCTTAAATATTTGGAAATGTATTCATGCTCCATCAAATTATACCATCTATGAAAATAGTAACTTACAGAAACATAGCTGGCATTAATGTAATCTGACCCTGGGATGCTTGCATCAGCAATCAGCTTCACTCTGTTATTATTATCTGAGGGGAAAAAAACATAAGAAATTGTAATAGGATTTTCAAATTGCTAAGACTTCTGTACTACGAAAGTAATATAAAAGTGCATGATCTAATAATCTCCATTCATATATGAGTATAACATTTTAAAAATATTCTCTCATGACCCATATTTCTACTATACAAATTATCAATAAGAGCTTGCACGTATTTGTAGAATTCCTACACGTATCATTACAGAATTAGTTTCAAATGTTGTGCCATATGCTGTGTTCTGAAAATTGTTTTTATTTATCTTTCTACATAATCAAAAGTATATCTGGTTTGTGTTTTTAAGAAGACATATAGCACTTTAATATAGCATACCCTATTTAATTACGACTTAAATTGATCCCAATTATTATTCAAAATACTGGAAAACATAATAGAGTTAATCACATAACTGTAAAACTGTATTTGTTCAACATATTGCCAGAAGCAAAAGTCCCCAAATCACAGGTGTACCTTTTGTATGTGGAAAGATACTGTCTAATGATCTCTTAATTTTATCAGTACACACTCTGAGAATTAGTTGAACATTTTTTAGGGCATTCATTATACTAATATTCTTATTTTTGTACAAGTTCATCGATAGACTTTTCTGAAACTTGAATATATTTTTCTAATTTACATTTCAGTATTTCAGACTTTCCCTTACTCAGATTTTTTTTCTAAAAGTAGTGAGGTGTAGGTTTACCTTTTGCTATTTATTATTATCTGTAACACAATAGTCCCATTTAAAAAATATTCCATTCATTTTTTTCCTTGATTTAAAATATTACTTTTATCATATACTACATTACCCATACATTTAGGTCTAGTTTTAAATTATTCTTTCCCATTACCTATTTTTCCTTTAATGTAAAATTTCTAGTTATTCTTCTTGAGACTCTTTTAAGAAATGCATTCACCAAGTAGATATTCTGTGCCCACTAATTTCTTTTTTTTTTTTTTTCCAAAAAAGGGTGCCAGAGATGTTCTTGGGAGTGTGTACCAAGTTGGTTTTATAACTGTAACATCTACTGATAACTTTAAATACAGGAAATCAGAAAGTATCTTTGAGTAAATAATTCAGAAGTTTGGCTGGATTGTGCGGCTAAGTGGTCCGGTACACGCTTAGCCTTTGCAGGGCTTTGGGTTATCAACACAGGGAACAGAAAAGAAAGGCTTTGTGGAACTCCATGGAAGACACATAAGAGGAGAATTGGTTATGAATATCTACACAGACTTGAGTGAATCATTTAGCTTCTCTGGTTCTTACTGGCCTCAACTGTATCATGCAGTGAAAGTATTTATTTTGTATAACTCTCTTGATGAAATGTAAAAGCTTACAGGAAATATTCAATACTGTTCTCATGTTCTCCAAGTTTAAGCATATACCCATATTAACTATCTAAACTGTTTTAGTTATATTGTGAGAAATTATGATCAATGCATTGAAACTTAGAGATTCCTAATGTTTAAACAAATTTCTGCAAATGGTTTGTGTGCTGGTGTTACTGTGTTACTGCGTTTTTTAAGATCTGCCTAATGACATTGTAGCTAGTCTTGTACTTCAGGAGGGAAAGCCATTGGGGTGCTATTCACTCGATATGCCTGTTTATAACAAGCTGAGTCAACAGCACTCTCCATTTTTTCTCATGGTGTTGGGATATTAAGGTCACAGTGTCCTGTCAGACAGAGATTTGGAAATCATGTCTGCAAGTATTCGCTGCTAATTCTAGTGTCCTAAAGCCCTGTAAGCTAATATCTTCCAAAAGGCACTGTGATATTTGAAATTCTCTTTCACACATTACTCAGGGGAAACACAGCATTACTCAAAGCTGCCTCAAGCAAAACTTCAGATTCTATTGAAATATATTCATTCACTATGGCGAAAGACACACTTTTCCAGTTTTATGAGTCCTGTGCAAGCACAATGACAACACATAGTCACAAAATCTTGGTTGCTTGCCTAGCAACCATTCATGTGTCTATCTCTGTGTGGGTTTGTGTGTGAAAATATGCCATGCCTCATACAGACAAGGCTATGACATTACAGATGGACTTTAGCCCTAGCTAGGGATGGGGTCTTGCTGTCTTCAGAATTCAGTGCCTGGGATGTATCACAGTCTTATCCACTCAGAAAGTTATCAGCATTTAAAAGAGAATGATCTATTGATTACTAACCATGAGGGCTAACATTTGCTGAATGCTTTCTGTGTTCCAGTACTGGGAAAAGTGATTTATGTGACTATTTTACTGAATCCTTCTATTAGCCTTACAAAGAACAGACAGTATGTTGGCAGTCACAAAGAACAGGCAGCTACAATCCAGAACTGTATCTCAGGAAGTCTCATTGTTTTTTGTCTTAGCCTCAGTATGGAGGTTTAAGACATTCATTCTCCTTACTCCTTTTTCTTGTTTTGAGGATGAGCATTTACTTCCACCAACCACTCTTGTTCTCTTCTCAACATAAAAGCAATAAGCTTCAGGAGGGGAACAGGATGGTGGAGCTGGAACAGGGACAGAGTGTGGGAGCGATGGAAGAGATACCATGATAGAGGGAGACATCATGGGGATAGGGAGAAACCTGGTGCTAGGGAAGTTCCCAGGAATCCACAAGGATGACTCTAGCTTAGACTACTAGCAATAGTGGAGAGGGTGCCTGAGCTGGCCTACCCCAGTAGTCAGATTGGTGAATACCCTGTTGTCATAGAGCCTTCATTCAGTAACTGATGGAAACAGATGCTGAGATCCATAACCAAGCACTAGGCCAAGCTCCAGTTGTCCAGTCGAAGAGTGGGAAGAGGGATTCTATGAATAAGGGGGGGTTAAGTTCATGATGGGGAAACCTACAGATATAACTGAACCAAGCTAGTGGGAACTCATGAACTTTTAGATGAACAGCTGTGGAGCCTCCAAGGGACTGGACTAGGCCCTCTGCATTAAGTGAGACAGTTGTGTAGGTTGGTCTGTTTAAGGATCCCCTGGCAGTGGGAATCGAATCTATCCCTGGTGCATGAACTGACTTTTTGGAGCCTATTACGTATGGTGGGACACCTTGCAAAGCCTTGATGCAGGGGGAGGGGATTAAACATGCCTCAACTGAATGTACCAGGCTTTGCTGACTCCCCATGGGAGGCCTTACCTGGAGGGGATGGGGGGTAGAGGTGGGAAAGGCTAGGGGCAGGGGAGCGAAAGGAGGGAAGAGGGGGATCTGTGGTTGGTATGTAAAAAACATAAAAAATTTCTTAAAGAAAAAAATAGTAAGCTGATGGTCTGAATTTTCTTTCAGCCAAAATGGAGACTAGATTATTATCTTCATTACAAAAGAATGAAACATTACAACAAACTATTAAGGAACTCAAATTTTCATGCTTCAAGTCAGAAACTTCTTAGAAATTAGTTAAACTTATTTGAGTTACTTTATATGTGTTGACATACTGCAAATTAGTCCCAACTTTATAATATAGCTAGAACTAACTACTAATGAATTCATGGTAGTTGCCTTTTGATAAGAGTATAATATTTACTGGCACCGAGTGCCACTTGAATAAGCATGCTGCAAGCAGTCTAGAAAAAATTCAGTGCAAACACATCTAACAACATGGACATTACCACTTAAATTGTATCCAATCAAGTAAATTTTCTTAAAGTTAGAATAAAAAGCATGTTACACTACCTATGGTGGGACAACTTGCACAGCCTTGAGGCAGGGGGAGGGGCTTGGACCTGCCTCTACTGAATGGACCAGGCTCTGCTGCCTCCCCATGGGAGGCCTTACCTTCTTGTAGGAGGGGATGGGAGGGATTGGAGGGGAAAGGCTGGAAGGGCAGAAGGAGGGAAGAGGGGGAATCTGTGATTGGTATGTAAAATGAATAAAAAATTACTTGATAATAAACAATGTATTTAAAAGCATGTTAAAAATGGTCAGGCATTTAGAGATTATCAGTCATATTCTTTACTTCTCACATCACAGTTTTGCCGTCTTGCTTCTGAAGTCATTTTCTTCTCATTGGTTTTGTTGCAGAAGGAACCTGCAGTGGATAATGCTATTTATTTTTCATTCTATTCTACTTCCTAGACACGACAGGTTGTGTGGATTATAACCTCTGATACACAGTCCTCTAAATTCAGTTGCCTTCGTGAATAATTTATTCTCTAATACCAGCCTGTGTTCTGCTTCTTCCTATATAAATTCTACATGGGATTATAGTCGCCTTTAAGTTAACACTTCCCTAGCTAAAAGGGCTGTAGGAATTTCCTAAATATGTTTATTTATTTGTTTGTTTATTGAAGTGCTAAGCTTGTGCATGCTGGGAACCCTTCTATCGATGAACTATAATCTCAGTTCTTTGCAAAACCTTTTTAAAGATCGAGGCAGGGTTTCACTACGTTGCTCAGGTGGATCTTGAATTCCTTAGGTAGAGAAAGCTGTTCTTGAACTTTTGGTCTCCATGTTCAAGCCTCCCAATTACTTGAGAGTACAGGGCTGCATTACTTGGCCTGCTTCCCAGTATACATTGGAACAAAGTTTCAGGACATCAAAATTCTTAATATCTTAATATAAAATGCATTGGATCAGAATTCTACTAAGCAGGCACATGCATTCAAAGACTACAAAAACAGACATATTGGTAACACAGGGATATCAAATCTTTCTCTACAAGTAATCATTGATTCTTAAAGCAACAACACTTTTTTTCCTTGAATTGAAAAATGGAGTTGTCCTACAGCAAGGTATAGTACTGCCTCTCTGCAGAAACAATTCCAGTAAACACACATTGACTCTATTCATCAACTAGTATTTTGCAAGGCATTTTAATGTTCCATAAGACTACTATGCTCTTAGGGAAATTTAATACACAAAGCAAAGTGTGAATTTCCCTTCGATTTAAGACATGCTCAATAGGAAGATGTTAAAAGAGTTAAATTACAAAGCTAAGAAGCAGGTCAATCTACAGTTTCTTGCACCTGCATAAATGAACCTTGTGTGAACAAACTGAAAACCATGTCAATTAACTTCAGTAATTAGGAACAAAGCAAACGTGATACAACTTGAAAGTCACCACTAATGCTATGTATTATTGTAATTCAATTAACGCGTAAGGAAGCATTAAACAAATGCTAACAGTTAAGATGGTGGGCATTTGGAAATACTTCATATTTAAAACATAAATGAGACTTGCACATACATGGTTTTATGTTTGGAAAGCGATTTTTTGCTCTGTTCCAAGGGAGATCAGCATCAGTTGAAGAAAGATCTTGAAGAAATTTCGGTAATTCCTGTGAAAAAAAAGTCATTGCCAAGTTTAAACTTGGTAAATATGAAATTCTGCTTAGTAAAACACAATCCCTTATTCTAAACCCTTCGTTTGTTTAGTTTGTATGTATATGCTCACGTGTGTGTGTGTGTGTGTGTGTGTGTGTGTGTGTGTGTGTGCACATCTACATGTTGAAGGGTAGGGAACAACCTTGGGTGTCATTCCTCAGGGGCCATAGGTCCATTTTATTTTATTACTTTAAAGAAAAAATCTCTCATTGGCCTGAGGCTTACCAAGCCGGTTATACTATGTGGCCAACTAGCCTCAGGAATCTTTCTGTGCCCATGTCCTCAAAGCTGAAATTACAAACGATAGGCAGCTTTTACATGAGCTCTAGGTATCCAGTTCATTGGCCTACTGAACTATCATTCCAGTCATAAATGTTTTTGATTTTTATTTATTTTTAATTTTGTGTCACTGATACCGGGGATTGAATCCTGAGCCTTGTGCTTGGCATACAATCTCAGTTGCAGAGCTATTCTCCCAGGCCACAGTTTTTAAATTTTCAAACATCTCTGTCATAGATATGGGAACAAGGTAAAATGAATAGCATTGGCTTTCCCTAAATGTCACCATTACTATTCTGAATGATTTTGATCAACTAGAATATGGCATTCCCTTGTGATAATTTCATTGAACTCTGGAGAGCACTAAGGTGCCACATGCTACCCATGGCTTCATCAGGTGCACACAACTGTTGTTATTTAATATGTTAATGCCTCTTTAGAGGGAAGAAGGGAGTTGAATGATTTATTTTTTGTTTTTTCTCCCCAGACAGTGTGATTTCATGCCTATTAATTGGTACAACCCTGGTCATTTTGAGAAGATGTCAAAGGTCAATACTGCACTCCGTTGGCCTCGTTAAATTGATAGTGGAATGCAAAGGTGAGATTTAGAATGAGCCAATACAGATGATGGGTTGGAAAGATCTACTGTTGACATTTGAAAGAAAAATGCTGCAGTCTGTCTGTCTTTCTCTTTCTAGTGCATCTTTAAGGAAGCTGGTGGAAGAAAATGTATTGATTATTTTCTTGGGCCGATGATTTCCATTCATGAAATTATTCTAATTTCTGTAATAATACACTGTGTTTTCCACTTTAATGTAATTATACATTATTTCTTTTTATTCAACAATTCTCCCTTCTACAAAAAGAAAGATCCTAAAGAGTTCTTTTCATATGGGTATATATCATGGGCAAGACTGGGTATAACCAGCAAGGCTTATTAAAAGTTAACAAAATAAAAAGACCCAAAATATCTTCTCTGTGTCAAGGTTTTAGAAGTATTGAAAGGGGAAGTGGGAGGACAGATGTGTTGGAAATTGACTTGAAAATGATACAGTTTGGAATGATTTCACATCTAAGTTTCCATTTACAGTTTTAAGTGACTGTGGCTCTGGTGGCCCACACTCAGTCACCAAGCTGATAGTTTGAATTAGCATCATGATACTGGGTGGTCTTATTCTTATTAGGATGTAGAACGTCAATGATCTTCCCTAAGTAGGTCTTTCTGCTCCTGTTTGATGTCTTCTCAGTGGGAACAAGATGAGCAGATTATTTTGCCCTCCTCCTGCTTTTGTATTTATTCTCTATCTCTGGAATAGTTCCCCCTTTATCTTCTCATTGGGATTCAGCTCATGCTACCACTTGTCTGAGACATCACCATTTTTATTAGTCTTTCCTAACCAGTGTTCGGCGTTGATCCTCACATCTTTATACACATCTCAATCATGACACATTTGTCCTGTTTGAAACATGTCTCTCATCTCTACAGTTCTTACTCTAATCTGAGTTTATGTGTGGTAGAGAGTATCATCCTAGTAACTGATATTTGTACCAAGCACTTTCCACACATTCTATACATAGTAACTTTAGTATTCCCAATTCAATGAGGCAGATATTATTATATATTTTTTGCAAATGAAGACACTGAGGGGCAGAGGAATTAGGTAACTTGTCTAAAGCCATTTAGCTTGTAAATGCTAAACTGATGAATACCAATGTGTCAAACACATTGCATGCCATAGTACAAACTCTAAAAAAACACTAACTAAAGGACAAGAAAATAGAAAATGAGTTCAAAGATCAGTCAAAATTGTGCATCCAATATATGTTTATTATGTTATAATAATTTTGATTTTAAAAAAATTAATAAAGCATTAGGATAAGAATAATTTGTTTTTTAAAAACAAAAGAATAGCATGGCTCCCCCCAAAAAAGCTAGAATTTTTCTTAACACACGAAAATACATTTGCTAATAAGACTATTCATCTACTTAGTCATGAATAATTCAATTATGTTTGCCCCTATTCTAGTAAAATCACACTTTTGCTCCTGAGAAATGGAAATTTCTTTCTATATAAATGCTAAGGGAACTTCATGGCTCCCTTGATTTTGCGAAGTCCAGACCAGTATTACTTAAGAAGCATAACCAACCAGTGGCAGGGGGCCCCATTCATCTTCTCACGTTCTCGTTATTACTCCCTGAGAAACTGAAATTTTATAATCCTGAATTATTTAAGCCAATTGTCTGACTCTTTGTTTCAGAAGTTCACACACTAAGAAATTCACAGAAAAAAAGTAGAAGTAGACTTTGGGTACACTATAAAATCTACTTCACTTTCGCCATACAAAATAGATTGCCATCTCGATAAGGTACTTACAAATCTCAAAATAGATTATGGCTCTAACCTTTACGTTTCTTAATAATTTCAATTTTATTGATATACAATACTCAGCTAATTAATAAAAATACTGTATCAAAAGAAACATGAGAAAATTGTTAAAAAGTGAAATTATTTTCAACTTTAAAATAACTTAAACAATGAAGTCTTAGTTTTACATATCTCCATGTAGGATAAAGCATTTATTTAATCATAACTTAGAAAGACTGTATTGAATGTAGACATACTTGTCTATATTCTGATAGTCCTAGAAGTTGTAATGATATTTGCAATATCTACAAATATCCAGCTCTGTTCCCTGATCATTTTACACCATAAATGTACATTAAGTAGCACTCATTATATTCGGTATTCAGTGTACTTATAATAAAATGCAACATGTGATCATTAAGGACCTAAATCTGACACAATTATTTCAAAATAAACTACATTTACAGTACTATCTAAAGCTCATACACAAATACAAACTAATGAATCCATCACTCTGCATTTCCACCTCCATCAGGATGAAAGAGAAAGGAGCTGGGGCCAGCCTGCCATTGCGGGGAGGCCTGAAGAAGATCACCTTCTCCTAACACAGTAGGTGAATATTCTGATGAGGTTGCCCCAAAGGCCACCCAGGGTAACATTACTATCTAAACAATCAACCTGGTAATTGGGTATTGATTATCAAGGCCAGAGTCCTTCATGGCCTTGCATGCTTAAAATGGACGTGAAATGTGACACAGGAAACTACTGGAGGTCTTGCAATGTTGTGACAACTGCTGGTAACATACCGAAAATTCCTCTTGAAACTTTAGGTTGTTGTTTGTGCAAAGCTCTTCGACGTGTTGCAGGAAGGATTTCTTGCTTATTGGCCTCCAAGTAAAGAAAGGTATTAAATGGAACCATGTTAGCTTATGTTCTTTCTCTTAAGGGAAACCTTGGGCACTGATTGTACTGTTAACATTCAAGCAACAAGGACACTGTAAAACCCTAGTCACACAGTCCTTTCAAGTCAACCTGTCCTGTTTACAAAAGGAGTTTTTCCTCTTTAAATTCACTTTCTTTGCATTCATCACGCAAAATTCTTTCAATTTTTCAGTGACTTCAAAAGAAAGACTTAGCATTTTAATGAACAAAAGTTTTCAAGTAAATGTGAGGGCATGAAGTTATCATTGACTCTTAAATGCACATAATACCTCTCTGTCATACAGAAGAATTTTACACATTACAAGGTTTTAGAAGATATAAAATATTGCAGTGACCTCATTCTCATAATGATATGGCTTTTAAGCCCAAAGGAGTTTAAATATCCCCATATTACTTCCCAAGTTAAAATACAGACATGCAGGCTTCACCCCAGAGAGAGAGAAAGCATTTCTCCAGTTACCATGCAATTAGTCATGCTTTTATGATTTATATCCAGCTTAAAGGTTTTTCCAACAAACATTCAGAAAGAGAGCCACACATTAAGAGTCATTGAGCCAGTGAATCTAAAAAGTTGATATTCAAAAAGAAGGGGGAAAAGTTCACAAACTTACTTGATGGATTTTCTATAACTAAGTAACCTGCAACAGAACCATGTTAGATGTATTGTGAGTGGGAGTGGATGGCTCATTCTCAAAGAGTTCTAAGTTAAAATCAGAAAATTATTGTAAATCAATAATGTATAAGTACAACATGGCTTCAACTAACATGCAATTCTTAATTTCAAAATTACATTAATTTTGACTAGGTTAACTTCTCTTCCCAGTTATAAAGGTAGCATTATCATTTAAGACAGTGCATTGAAAGAAGGCTACCTTTTAATATATTGTAAAGAATAGAGAGTTAATACAGATTCAAGAAATATTTTATTTATAAAGAGTGTGGAATATGTGAAACAGAAGTTATTCAAAATTACATTACATTGCCCAAATTTTGTTTCATGACTGAGTTTTGGTTAATATACAGCCAAAACAATCACATTTTATCCATTTCAACTACTTTATGTACATTTTGTGACAGGTCATTGACAAAGTTAAACTCTGAAACATGAGATATTTTAACAGAAAAACAGATAATGCAACACACACTTAGAGATATGTTCCCTGTTAAATATCATGCACAACAAATTTGCACTGCAAAAAAAGCACAAAAGGCACAAATATATACACAACCAAAATGCAGAAGGGATATTACAAATTATTTTACAATGACCTTCAAGTAAAATATTTCTTGGAATATGTGTTTTTAAAGTCATGGATGCATGAAACAAAATAATTGGATTGAAGAACAAAGAAGACATGATGACTAATTATGAAAATTATCCCGAAGACTTGTGTCCAATGGAGAAAACAAATAAAAAAAGAATGTATCTTATGACAAATAAAAGAGTTAATGGAACTTGTCGGGATGAAGTAGCAGGTATTATGAAGCTGGATATTAGAATTCTAAGTCAGTGGTGGGTATGTCAAAGAGAAAATAGCCTCCTACTTTCTCCCAGTGTGAGCTGCTAGGGCATCCTAGCATCATCCTAACACAGACAAAGCGGTAAAGGCTGAGCTGAGGATGAGCCAGATGAGGTGAAGAGTTTCCCACTGCAGCCTAAAGCACTTTCAAGAAGGCAATGGAGAGCTCCTTACCATAGCTTCAGGGATTCAGAAATGGCTGAGTGGGTTGTTCAATCAGAAAAACTTTGGTTTAAGTGGAGAATATAAAACAGAGCAGCTGGAAATGTGAGGCACTGGAGGTAATAGACATATGCCATAGAGACAGGTGCAATAATCCATGCCTGTTGGAAATGTGTTAGGCCAGGCAAATCTTGATTACCTGCACATGAGAAATGACGGGGATCTTTGCAATTGAGACATCCATTTTCACACTACTGCATGGAAATGGGAACTCTTGATCTGAATGTAGATGACAGATTCTGTACCTAGCAGAGCCAAGATTAAGGCTGGACTAGAGAAATGTATTTTACTTGTATAATTGAACTCTGAGATGGATGCTACTTTTGGGGAGTTATGAACAAGGAATTAATAAAATCAATTCATGTTTGTGAAGAGATATGAAATATTAATAACATGAAGTATAAATAAGCAAGACCGAGAAAAAAGGTAGTATTATTCACATTCTTGCTTTTTCAGTAATGAACTCTATCCTTCACTTACAACTTATAAATAAGGAAAATATTATTTTTCTAAGGCCATTTTTTCTCAGTGAGAAATTATAAATATCCTTTAATTTTACTCTTTATTTTTCATGAAACATTCCTCTATAGATTCTAATTTTAAATTTCAGCAGCTAACTATGAAATTGGATTGTTGCATTCACGCCTCATTATAAAATATCATCTTACTGACTTCAAATATTGCTCCATCATCAGCTATGCTCTCTTGAACAGGTTTCTTTCTCCCTCCCCCTCCCCCTCTCTCCCTCTTTCCCTCTCTCCCTCTCTCCCTCTCTCTTTATTTGGTTTTTCAAGACAGGGTTTCTCTGTGTAGCCCCAGCTGTCCTGGAACTCACTCTGTAGACCAGTCTGCCCTCGAACTCAGAGATCCACTTGTCTCTGCCTCTCAAGTACTAGAAATAAAGGTATGTGACACCACTACTCCATTAGCAGGTTTTTAACGTTTTGGTACTGACCTTGACTACAGATCCACCTCACATGCTGTTCCTCAGATCCTCATTTTCTTCTAAGGGTCCTTCATCTTAATTCTATGTGCTTTATCCACAACCAAATTCTACTTATTTCTTAATATCTGATTCCAAAATTAGCGCCCAGTGGGCCTCATCTAATGGCAAAGACTAGGAAATAATGTTTTCTTTCTGTGCTATCTGATTTATAAGAACAAATAACTTTATACTGTGTGCGATAGATATTTTAGTCTATGTACTAAGAGTGCATGCATTTATATTCATATATACTTGACAGTTCAGACAGAACTAACACTCAGCTTACTTGATAATCTTCATAATTTATTTATAATACTAATGAACCCATTATTAAATATAAAATCATGACTCCAGACACACTGAAGGCAAGTTAGAAATGCTCTACCTATTGTGAAATGATACTGGAATTGAATGGATTTTTTCACTCAATTCTTAGGAAACTGAATTTTCAGGAGGTCATAAACATTTGAAATAAGTGTAATCATTAGATTTACCAATAACAAATAATGAATTCTTAATAAAGCCCCTATATTTTTTTATATTAGGTCTCCTAACATTAAAATATAGCAGCTGCTAGACACTTAGAAATAGAACAACAAAATTGTGTTTGCCTTCTCAAGTGAGAAGAAAAGAAAAGAAACTTCCTAGATATGGTAGAACACACCTTCCATAGCAGCACTTGGGAGGCTGATGCAGGAGGATCTCAGATACCCTGCTACAGCCCCACAAATGAAAGAGAAGAAAGAAAGAAAGAAAGAAAGAAAGAAAGAAAGAAAGAAAGAAAGAAAGAAAGGGAAGAAGGAAGGAAGGAAGGAAGGAAGGAAGGAAGGAAGGAAGGAAAGAAGGAAGGAAGGAAGAAAGAAAGAAAGAAAGAAAGAAAGAAAGAAAGAAAGAAAGAAAGAAAGAAAGAAAGAAAGAAAGCAGCAGGAGGGAAGGAGGGAGGAAGGAAGTAAAGAAGGAAGAAGGAAAGATGGTTGGCTCAGATATGGCTTTATTTTCTTTCCTATCACTTATTTTATCTAAACTCAATAACCTTTTTGTAATCATTTTCACAATTATCTTTATGTTACATAAGAAATAGGGCTTCTAAACTCCTAAATTTTTGGTAAATTTTAGTCTATGCTTATGCCACAATTATGTATAAATAAAAAACTTGAAATCTTTATATAAGTAGCTGAAATAGAGAAGGTATTTCAGAATATATACCCAGCTATCTCAAATAGAAATTTGGTTTCTCCCTCTTGTTGATGTCTGTACTGCCCACACCATTGCTCTGATTCCTTAGCATCATGTTATGTGGCTGTATTTGATTCCTATGTGCTGCATAGCTATATTTTTACCTTAGATGATTCCATTTACATAATAAATCATAAGCAATATTAATTATATTAATTATTAATAATAAATAATAAAAATAAAATTTCTTTATCTTCAATATCCTGAATTTTTATTTTTACCAGAAAACATTAATTTGGAAAATGTATGGTTAGAAATGAAGGTGTGACCAACTGTTAGAAAAATGCATTGACATGCTTATCACTGATAGAATAGTTGAATTCCTTATAGAGATAGACTGGTTGTATAGGCCTTAAGAAACTCACTGAGATTGTGAGTAAAACCCAACAATATTAGTTCAATAATGATACGTTCAAATAAAGTAACCTAAAGGGGCATCTATACTCAAGTATAGAATTTATTTTAATTAAAAATTTAAAACTTTTAAAAATCATTGAATGAAACTCATTTTCACATTAGGACAGTGCTCATATTCACTTTTGGTAGTGAGGATAACTGTCAAATTATATTAAGTTCATTTAGTGGATAAATCGAGTTTGGAATTGGCCAGATTTTTGTAAGATTACAGACCACTTTTCAATATAAAGGGCTAAATACTTTTATTACATGAATCTTTTCATTACCTAAGTTCTAGCTGCCTTAAATCCTATGTCTTTCAGTAGAAAGAGTATTATTTCACAGCTCAGCTCATTACTTGAAGGTCTATCAAAATCTTAAATTCTGCTCAGATTACTCTTATGGACCCAGAGAGGAACCATTTATTTATGTTGGCAGTGGTGATGAAAGACCATATTGTCAGGGACTCAGCTTTCTCTCAAGGCCAATTAGTTGAAATCTATAGGGAATTAAAATATAGTGTTTATAGAGATAAGTACACAATGAGAGCAGAGAAACAGCTCAAATCAGCATTAACAGTGGTACAG